TATATATATATATATATATATATATATATATATTAAAAGCATGAACCCTTAAAGCTAAAAGTCAAATTACATATTTAGCCCTTTTAAAAATCTAATTACCCCACCTATAAAAAAAAAAGCAGCAAATTTATTTGAAGGGATGTGATCCTTCGGAACAAATACTAATGTCCCGAAAACTTTGTGTCCTAAAAACTACTTAGAAGAAAATTAAATTAAAATAACAAGTTTGTTTGAAGGGACGCATACCTTCGTAATAGGTTACTATTGTTCCGAACAGTTTCTATGTTCTATTTCAAAGATCTTGTTATCATGGGATAAAAATTTACAAGGCACAATTATCTCTTTTGGATTTCATCCGCAATAATTACATGGGATAAAAACCGTATTAATTCAAAGGGTGAAAATGTATTATCACATAATATAAATATATGTGTTATGCATTAGTTATATCTCTTTCCCAAGAAAACAACTTCTCTATCTGTTCTATTAGTAATGATTCAAAGCAAGTTGCCTAGCAATTTATGCTTTTTTTCTCACGTTCTCATTATACTTGATAAAATGGGAATAGATTTTGTCAAATCATTTCGCATTAGAAAGAAAGATGAAGAAATGTTACTGGAAGAAAAAAAAACTAGACAATTATCAAGTTCAAAGAAAAAGATCTTCAGAAGCATAAGAAGTTTGATCATTTAGAAGGAAGTTCAAATGTTATCCAAAGATTAGAAGCACTATGTATTTGTCAAAAAAGTATTATTGCTTGTGCATCATCAAAGTATCAATTTTAGTATTTCTCCTCATATAAAAGAGAAATTTGTGCTGGTATAATATTCCAAATTTGATTATTCTTTAACCGATAATTCTCCTAATGCTTTTATTCTTATTAGTTTCCGCAAATTATCTATCTATATTTACGCAAAAATAATTATTCAATAAAAGGATTTCTACACAATATATACTATAGGTATAAGTGAATTCTATGTTATTATCTGTTTAGCTAAATGATTCACGATTTTCATAAATTAAGATATCAACTAACAATAGCAATAACAACTGAGTATAATCTCACAAATGTGATCTGGAGAGGGTAGTGTGTACGCAGACCTTACCCCTCCGTTGATGGATATAGAGGTTGTTTTCATAGACCCTCAATTCAAGAAGACAAAAAGAGACAATGGAACAGAATACCAGCAACCTAAGAAGCAGAAAATTAGATGGAAAAAACAATATCAATAACCAGTAACAATGTCAAGGTACTTGAAAAACGGAGCAGAAAAATAGTATGAACACAACATAAACAACTAGCAGTCTAAGACAAGATACTATTAGACTAGCCTTACACCCAGTACGGAGTAGAAAACACTCAACTATCTCCTAACATTCAACCCTAATGCTCAACCTCCACACCTATCTATCAAGGGTCATGTTCTCGGAAAGCTGAAGCCACCTCATGTCCCACCTGATCTAAATTTAAATATCATCTATTCATATTAATAATTATGTAATATGAAGCATGTTGTAATTTGACAACACAAGTTTTGGTAATGACAAAGCAATTGAGACACATAAAAGGAACATATACTAAGAATATCATTTATAAGGAAGTTTATGTAAGATTCACTATATTATATTTTATACCTCATAAGATTGAAATAAATTAAACAATCATGTGTTTCTAATTAAACTTTGATTGTTTATCTTCGTAGGTTTAAAAGATATCTAACTATATTAACCTTGACAAATAAGTCACAGCACAAAAATCCACATGGATCATTCACATAAACTTGTGGTTTATTCATTTATGCATAATTATACACTTACAACTTTATTTTACTAATAACAATATTATTAATTTGTGTACTACATGGCTTAGTATACACGTGCGATCGAGAAACTAGTATATAAATATATATGGTGAAAGGAAGTGTGGTTGGAAACAGCCTTGGTCCAAACTAAGCCCCACAACTCTATGACATGGAGATTGCAGTGGAAACTAGAACAAACAATGTCCATTTGGCACCAATCAAAACCGCAAGAACCTTATCCCACATCATAAATCTAATCTTCCCAATATCCACTTCCCACACATCCAAAAATACACATGATCACAAAATCTAAAACATATTCACCACATCACCATTAAGAGGAAACCAAGCCAAAAAACAAAGAAAAGAAAGGCTAATTGTTATTGAGTGTAGTAGTAAGCAATGGCTTCAACACAATGTTTCTTGCACCAACATGCACTTTCTAGCTCTGCAGCTAGAACAACATCCTCAGTGTCATCACAGAGGTACGTTTCATCCCTTAAGCCTAACCAACTGGTTTGCCGTGCCCAAAAACAGTCCTCGGCTCAAGAAGATGATGGCAACAGCGTCGCCGTCTCTCGACGATTGGCTCTCACTGTCCTCATTGGTGCTGCTGCCGTTGGTTCCAAAGTTTCCCCTGCAGATGCTGCTTATGGAGAAGCTGGTATGTCAAGTTCAATTTTGACATATTGTCTCAAAGAATTTTTGTATACGATCTGATTACTTAAAAGAAGGAAAGTCTTGACGTAATTGATGAAGTTGTTGTCATACGACCAGGAGGTCACGCGTTCCAGCCGTCGAAATAGCCCCTTACAAAAATGCTGGGTAAATCTATATATAATAGACCCTAGTGGTCCGGCCTTTTCCGAACCCCGTGCATAGTAAGAGCTTAGTGCATCAGGCCGTTATCTGATCACTTAAAAGATAACTACGCATACCTGCCCGTAATATGTGAAATTAACCACTTGGAAAGTAGAACATATTAACAACCTGTAATAACGAGTAAATAAGCTAGACAGTATAAAAATTCATTATTTACTGGGTTAGTGTATATAAATTAAATCTTGTTGTACGCATACATTATGATCTGAATATTGATCAGACGCACCTACATAAAACAGCTTCCACGGAATAACATAAAGGGCAGCCGGACTACAAGAGTATATTGTACGTACGTAGCCTTACCCTGCGTTACTGCATGGCAGCAACTTACCAGTTACGCCAAGGCTCCCCTTCTTCCCCGGAATAACATGATGATGCTTAAAACGATCATTGGATGGAATTTAACGATGGTTTTTGTGATATATATATATATATACAGCAAATGTTTTTGGTAAGCCAAAGCAAAACACTGATTTCTTGGCATACAACGGAGATGGATTCAAGTTGCAAGTCCCAGCTAAATGGAACCCCAGCAAAGAAGTTGAGTTCCCTGGTCAAGTTCTCAGATATGAAGACAACTTTGATTCCACCAGCAATCTCATTGTCACTGTCACTCCAACTGACAAGAAATCCATCACTGGCTATGGCTCCCCTGAAGAGTTCCTCTCTCAAGTAATTACATTTCTCTCTCTCTCTCTCTCTAAAAGCATGCATTTTATAGACTGAAAATTGCACAAAAAAGTGATGAGTTTTGACCTTTTGTCTGAGCAGGTGGACTTTTTGCTAGGAAAGCAAGCTTACTTTGGTAAAACTGATTCAGAGGTAAGTAGTCATAACTACAGTGAATGATTGTAAAAAGGATTTGTTGTTCTGGTTATTTGTAGAGTGGGAATACTTTTACATGGAACAAGTGAAGTAAGTCCTAGAAATAAATGCCCTATAGTTTTTTTAATATCGATAGTGTCTGATCCAACTTGCACGCACCTAGACTATTCCACTTAGAGGAAGAGCCAGGATTTGAAATTAATGGGTTCAGGATTTTAATATTTTTAAGTCATTCGGTTCTAAATTAACATTTTATACATATTCAACGGATTTTTTAAGACAAATACAGGGTCTGGATCAAAGCTATTGGGTTCAACCGAGCTCGTAGCCAAAGCGCTAGGTCCGCCCCTAATTCCATTAGGTATCAGCTATTTCCCACTAGCAGAGATACCGGATAACTATGCCGGCCAAAATGCCCTGCAATTATCAACATTCAGGAGCGGATGTAGAGTATGGCCGCCGGGTTCATCTGAACCCAGTACTTATGTTGCAGAGCATAAATTTGTGTAAAAATTCATTAAAATTGCAATAAATGAAGAGGGAATTTGTTACTGCAGGGTGGATTTGAATCTGGTGCAGTGGCAACTGCAAACCTATTGGAGGCATCAAACACAACTGTGGGAGGAAAAGAGTACTATATCTTGTCAGTATTGACAAGAACTGCAGATGGAGATGAAGGTGGTAAGCACCAGTTGATCTCAGCTACAGTAAATGATGGCAAACTTTACATCTGCAAAGCACAAGCTGGTGACAAGAGATGGTTTAAGGGTGCTAGGAAGTTTGTGGAGAATGCAGCCACTTCTTTCAGTGTTGCTTAAGNCCCTCCCTTAAAATAACATATGGTGCTGAGATGAGTTGCTTAATTGAACTTCCTTTTTTTCTCTTTTCAAGCCACCCCAAAAAAGGTTGTAGAGATGTTTGAAGTATTGTTGGAGGAAGCTAATGTTAATAATATAATATTTTCTTTGCATATATTTGACACCCTTTTAGAGATGTTTAAAGCCCTGTGTTTTTACTGTGTTAAAGGTCTTAATCTATATTGTTTGGAAGGGAAAGTGTAGTTCAAGAAGAGAAGTCTTTTAACAACCAACTCACAAGGCTTTAGTAGATATAAATCTTGAGGAAAAATTATGCAATCATCTCCAAAAAAAAAAAAATAAACGAGGGCAGCCCGGTGCACTAAGCTCTCGCGCATAGCGCGGGGTCCAGGGAAAGGCCGGACCGCAAGGGTCTATTATACGCAACCTTACCTTACATTTCCACATGAGGCTGTTTAAACGGCTCGAACCCGTGACCTCCTGGTCACATGGCAGCAACTTTACTAGTTACGCCAAAGCTCCCCTTCAAAAAGAAAACGGGAAACTTAATGTTCACAAATTGAGTGCAAGAGAAAACAGAGGAGTTTGATCACTCCAGCTTCTGTTTTCTCTTCTTTTTCAGGTTATTTTGAGGACCAAAACTCACTTCTCATATGCAAATTTTGAGTTACTAAACCATAGGCAAGTTTTATAACTATGTATCGATAACATGCCCGTGAATAACAGTTAAACTCCCTGTTAAACTCCCCTTCTTTTCACTACTTTTTTGGGAGACAAGGGCAAATGACAATGCATCCAACCTGTTCAAACCATTGACTACTCCCCCAGCTTAAATTCAGTAAGACACACCAAGCAATCACTGAGAACTGAGATATGGAGAAAGTACATGAATTATTGATGGACTGAATGCAAATTTCACATTCTTGTTTGTCATAAATGTTTGCTTTGACATGAACGTAAAGAATATACAGAGAGCAGTGAATAGGGATAAGAGATCAATCTTGTAAACATTACACACTATCCTTTTGCATCTCAGACTTCAACTTCGCCCATTGCAGCAGCTCGCGCCATTAGTAACAGTGCCATGCTGCTTCATATTTACTCGATTCAAGCCCCATATACGGATACTACGATCATCACTTGCCGATGCCAGCATATGAGGATTTGCTGGGTTCCAGCTAACACAATTCACTGTCCCAGAATGTCCAGCCAATGTCCCAACAAGTTCACCCGAGCCTCTATGCCATATATAAACCTGAAAGTAATGTATAGACCAAGATCAAGTCTCTCTCAAGGATACAAGACTAACACTAAGTTTATGGTATAGACTAAGATCAAAGTCTCTATAGAGAATACAAGGTCAGAATCCAACTCTCTATAGATAATAAAGATAACGTGCGCAAGGATATATAAATGGTCCAAAAATCTCTGAAAAACTGGAAATTTTGCAATAACGAGACACTCAATGACATGGAAAGAAGAGAGCATTTGAAGACCATGATTATTGAGAGCAGTGGTTATTACAAAGGCAGGATGTGGGTCCAAACAGGAAAATACACTTTACTCATGATAGAAGAAACTCAAAAAGAAAATTAAGCAGATTGGCAAAGGCAATTTTTTTATGAGAAGGTAACATGATTGGCAAAGGCAATTTTGAAATACTCAAACAACAGGAATACAACAGAATTAACTCTTTAGGGCATCATTTACAAGAATCCTAGAAAATGCAAGACAAATATTGATGTTGCTTGCATATATGAAGCATAAACATGAAATGATTATATTCTAGAAAAGCATAACTTGTTCACAGGATTTTTTTATGCTGGAAAACATGGTGTATGAATGAATAAACGAAAGAAGCTTTTTATGGTCAAAAGACAGACCATCTGCAATATGCAAACCTGATTTGAGGAATAGAATTGTCAATTTATTCATGTGCTAATATGCATACAACGCAAACCTCCAACAACAAAAAAAGTTCTGCAACATAAAAAGGCAGTGTGCTTCTAGATCAATAAGAGAAGAGGTACCTGTGAGTCCTCGCTTCCACTGGCAACGAAAGCTTGATCTAGTCCTCCAAAGCAAGACCTCACAACGAAACGAGAACGTTTATGCCCCTTATATTTGCTTATGAGTTTTACAGTTCCCTGTACATCCCAAAGATGAATTTCTTGGTTGCAAAGACTAACCAATACATACTTATTGTCCATGGACAATACAAACGAAGTTATTGCTTGATCCTCTTGAATTACTTTCTCTGTTCTTGATTCCCATTCAAATAATACTATCGTATTTTCTTTACAAACAGAGACAACATGCTTCCCATCACTTGTTATTCCCAAGTCCGACATTCTAATAGTCCTGTTGCCTTTCCAACATTCCAGCTCTTTCCCTTCCAAATCCCACATGCTAATGCTTTTGTCAGTTACACCACAGAATATCCTCTTGCCATCAGGAGCCCATCCGCATGAGATCAAACCAAGTCCATTTTTCTCATAAATGCGTATACATTCACCGGACTTGACATCCCACTGTCTGACAACTTCTTCTACACCACAAGTGAGAAGCTGATGGTCATCAGGACTCCATGATATATAGGAGACAGGTTTTTGATGACCAGAAAATAGGTGCTTTAAGAAGACACAGCCATCCAATTTGACCTATAAAGAGCAGAAAATTAAGGGATGAACTTAAATGCTATCAACTGTCTGATTAGTTCAAATCTTCATGATCAACAGCTCTCTTTTCTTTCATACCCACCACTCCCTCCCACATAAAGACCATTTTTTTTCTATTTAACCTTTAAACACCAACTTTTTCTATTTTACTTTTACCAAAATGAAATGCACCAAATATTAGCATCTTAAAAGTTTGGAGGAGAAAGAACCTTGCATATCACATCTCTCAAAAATATAATCAAGCATCAAAAAGAAGAGGACATGAACCCAATATGTTCAATATTAATCCTGTTGATAAGCAAACAGAAGCAGTACAAGTACAACAATAACGACCCAGTGAAATCCCACTAGTGGAGTCTGGAAAATAGTAAAAGCAGTACAAGTACCAGCCATTATTTAAGGAGTAAATACAATATAAAACTCTGATTTCCAACTTACAAAGCTAGCTGAATAAAGCACATTATCACCTCTAGAACACCCTTAACATTTCTTTTCTAGGCAGTTTGTTCAAAATTCCTCCTTATAGTGAAGTAATATTGGCCTTCAGCTTTCATTTTTTCAAAAGTACATGGAACTCTTCCATGTGTTTATTTCTCTTGAAACTTAAAAAGGAAGGATCAATCATGATATGAAACAACTATTCCCTCTGACTCATTTTATGTCAAGGTGCTTGATTGGCCACAAAGTTTAAAGATGTTATATTGACTTATACAATACATTAGCGATGATGGAAGAGTATATTAAAGTAGTATTGAAAAGACAACAAACATCACATCAAAGTTAAACTGTGAATACTTTAGTGAATTCAAATTCTTAAAAGTTGTTTAAAATAGAAGTGGAACATGCCAAATGGGAAGAGTATCATATAAATTGGAAGGAAAGGAGTAATAATAATGGAACTAAATCCAAAATATACTTTAAAATTGATGTTGCATTCAACTAATATTCATAGACATGCACATCAACATTTAACATAGACATGTATCAATGTTTTAACATGCCATCCATAACTATTTGGCAACATATTCACCTTTAGCCATTCCAAGATAATAACTTTGTTCTTAACAATGGAATAATAATGAATAACTAAAAAAATATATTATTGCAGGCAGAAAAATATATTTTAGCTTTCCTTGTTCAGTTCTGGATTGAGACATCTAATATAATAATTTTCTAACTTGAACCATGAAATAGCTTGCAATATTCTAATCAGTGATAATGGACAATCTATGAGGCTAAATATTTTACACAGAGCCCAAGCCCCATGAAACTAACTCCTCAGTCTATATATAAAATCAGCTTGCAACTGATTTTTGCTTTTTTCTTTTTAATTTATTCTGGACAAGTAAAAGAGACATTAAATAAATAAATTTCAGACAACTAACACCTCAGCCTACATAGGCTTCACTGCAATTCATGTGGACCCAAAAATACAACCCATGAGTCATGACATTCTTTTTTTAAGAGACTAAAAAAAAAAAAGAAACAGTGTCACATAAAATGGAACAGAGGGAGTAATACATTAATTCACAAACTTTTACTTTATATAAAACCCCAAGGGGCAAGATAGGTCACTATTTTAATCAAAATGAATAACTTTTGGTTGTATTACTATATGAGGTTGGGGAAACCATGTAAATTGTTTGTTTGAGGACCCATACGTGGCACGCCATGAGACTCTGAAGCATACAAGAATGGCATCATTCTCCTGATATTAATTCTTTAAGGCAGAAGTAAAAGACCATACGAAAGGAACTGCAACATAAGATGCACAAAGTGGAGAAAAGAAATTCAACAAAAAGCAAAGTGAAAATTGATCTAAGTTGAAAAAACAACAATTGTTATGACAACAATATCAAGAGGATTTAAACATACCTCCCATATAATGACCGAACAATCAGCAGATGACGAGGCTAAGTAATTTCCATTATGGGAAAACTGCAAGAACCAGACTTCATCACTGTGTTCTTGTAATATCTGGTGCAGTAGAAGCAACGAAGAAATAATTAGAGCTTAAGTTGACTAACAAATTTGATCTTCAAAAATCAAACTCCAGTACCAACGATTGTTCTAAAATGACTTAGAACACAAAAACAGCTAGTTGACACATGTAAAGTTGGTAAAAATATCAAGTGNCCAAAAAAAAAAACAAAGGCACACTTTCTGCGTTCACGCACAGTGGATCCAACCACATCTTCTGGTTAAACACCCCAACTAGGTCAACTAGCAAATGGTATAAACGACATGAACAACACTAGCTACTCCTTCATCCCAAACAAAGCCAAAAACTAGAGAATAAAAAGCACTTACTTGTTTACACGTT